ATCAATAGTTATGACTGATTATGTGTCGATTTTCGCATGTCACAAATTGAAATTTTCGTTTTCTTCAACGTAATTGACGAGAATTGCTCTCTTTTTCTTCGACTATCAGCATGAATCTTATGTCAGTTGGAAAGATGATTGAACAACCATCAAATTGACAGGCGAACTGTTTAATTTTGATGATTTTTCAATGAGTTATGAGACTTATTAGGAATAAAACGAATTTTCGTGTTTTACTTGAAAATTCAACTTTGATTGGATTTTTAGATATTTTCATTTCAAGTCAATGAGAATATTTGTATGGCATTTTAAAGGGTATTTTCCGTTCTTCAAATTGAGATGTGTTAAATGCGACTGGGTTGACTTTTCATGAAGTTAGTGAATATTGTTTCCCTTCTGAATGCTATGTCACACCCTGAAATTCGCATTTTTTATCAATTATCGTGACTTTGGACTTGACCAGTGAGTACTTATCATACACCAATTTGAAGATCTCAATGAGATCTTCAAAATGGTGTATAATATTTTTCATTCTATCCACTTGATCAACTGTTATGGGTGATTATGTGTAGAATTTCGCATGTCACAAATTGAACTTTTGAGATTTTTCAACAGAATTGCGAAAAATTGCTCCATTTTCCGTCGACTATCAGTATAAATCTTATATTGGTTGAAAAGCTTATTGAATGAGCTTCAAATTGAGCGGTAAATCATTTGAATCGGATAATTTTTGAATGAGTTATGGGACTTTTTAGGAAAGAACGAATTTTCATGTTTTTGTACTCTAAAATTTACATTTCTCCATCAATTATTATTATCTAGGCTTTCGACTTGACCAATGGGGATTTATCGTGCATCAATAATATGAAAAGCATTGCTTTTTTCTTCGCAGACTGTTATTGTAAATGTTATATCAACATATATCACATATGGGTTGAAAAAGTTATTAAATGAGATACAAAACGACGTCTCATTTATTCCATTCACTTGGAGCTTTGAATTTGTTTATTCATGGTGAAGTTATCAACAGAATGAAGCTGTTTATGAAATTTTAAGAAAGAGTTAAGGTTATAGTGGCGTTGCAGACCAGCCATATTATTTCTTGAATTACATTCTGAGTGAGACGGGTAATTGTTTAATATATAATATAATATACATATGATAAAATATATCTTGAAGGTAAATTCATTTCATATGTAACTGTAGAGATGAACAAAAAAATAATAACACACGCAATAATAATGCACTTATTATTTATGATGCACTAATACGGTGAAGCCACTCACACTATCGAAACAAGAAGACAATTCAAAATTTTAGGCAGGAAATGGTCTTTGAAAAATAAATAAAAAAACGTAACAAAAATAATTTGAAATAAGAGAAATAGAAATTTAGGTGCATTACTTACCTGATTAATAACCTCATTTAATTCAACCCAACCAATTTGAATTGAAAATAGAAAGCACAACAACATATTTGGTATATATTAATACAAAATATGTATTTCGGTTTAATAACATTGACACGTTTTAGAAATAGTAATCGGTCAGTTGTCGATCAGTCGAAGGGCAAGAAAAATGAAAATTGAAAATGTAATACAAGTATCAGCTACACGCAACCTAGCTAGCGCGCGTCCTGCCTAGTGTCATAAAAGCTACAGTTTTACCAAATTTCAACTTCTACCTCTGTCATGGTTATGACATTTCATCAAATACAAAATATCATAAATTGTTGTTATGACTTTTTAAGTCATACAGAGACGAAAATCATTGATAAAATGACGATGTGTAATTTTTTGGAAAAAAAGATTTTTAGATAAATTGCTCTATGCCCGGGTGTACTGAATCGATTGACACAAAATTTTATACATAACTGTGGGCTCATAATACAAATTAGTACTCAGAATCTCAGATGTCTAGACAAGCTTCACGCGTATTATGGACACCACATTAACTTTAAAATGAAAAAATTAGAAAAACGCTGATATCTCCAAAACTTTTTATGCGCAGGTATACATATTTTGATTGATCTTGATAGAAGGTATCGTGACAAATATTTTAAAAAAAAAGTGAATCAGCCCAGTAGTTTAGGAGATATTCAGCATAACAGTTTTTCACAAAAAGTTGAATATCTTTTAAACTACTTATCCGATTCAGCTCGTGAATAATACAGTTCTGTAGTATCATATGAGCTAAAATCCTACCAAATTTCAACGTTCTATCTTGAATTTTCAGCGAGTTATGGTTTCCACAACGATTTTCTAGTAAAAATGAAAATGTCGATTATTATTAAACTGACCCTAGTTACACAGCAATATTTCTAGTTGATTCGATAGATATTTGCGTAAGAAATACTTTTCCGTCAAAAAACTTCAATTCGGTCACGTAGTTTATGAGATATTAAGGAAAAAAGATTTTTGAAAAATTGCTATATCTCGGAAACTACTGGGCCGATTAAGCTGAACTTGCGCCCACAAATGCTCCAAAGTAATACCAAATCCAAGTAATACCAATACAGATTTTTAGCTCAATCTTTAGTCCTTTTTCGGGGGGATTTATAAAAAATTTGCGAAAAATCAGCAAACACATTTTGACATACATACATACATTTTCTAAAAATATCATATTTTCACGCTTCATGACATTCTACATCATTTCCAAGTAAAATTACGAGATCGTAAAAATCATCGATTACAAGGCTTCCATTCGGAAGCAAAAAGTAAATGTCACATGGCTTCTGCCAAAAAGGCTTACACCCCTGCTTGTTTTTAAACGAAATCGGTCCAGTCATTTTACCGTTTTTCAACAAAACCCTCAATTTTCTGATTTAATTATGGAAATTACGATTATTTTCAGTAGATTTGACTATTTAATTCTATGTGTTCGATGTCGCTGATTACAAATATGTAATCATTTTACATAATATCTTCAAAACTAGGGGAGATAGCAAAGTTTTAATGAACATTTGGGGGGGGGAGCCCTAGTGGAAAATCCAAAATTATAGCGTTACATACCTGATAAGAATCTGATAAGGGAACCTGATCAGTGTCTGATCAAGACCTGACTAAAATTTCCACTCGGGTATGATTCAATTTGAGAGTGAAATTCGTAAGTGTCCTGGTAGCTCAGATGGTAAGAGCACCCGACAACATAAGACTCAATCAGTGGTTTTTCCTGAAGCTGTACCTTTTCCACTGTTCTCCTCTACAAGGCCCATGAGCCAATCGACATTAAGACAAATTCTCATACCTTTCTTGCTGCCACCAAAACCCATAATAAGTGTTGGAAGAGGGCACCAGCTCCCAGTCAACTAGTCCTATCTCTATTAACTACTTAATACTTATTCTTATGTAACTATACTGCGCTTGCGCGGACTGTGATGTAAGTCGACACTACGTGTACCGGCGTCACTTCGACCTGTGTGCCTTGACGAGTAACATTAAAATGTTTCTTGATAATATCAACTGCCTCGTTATTTCGAACGCCTGACCTACCAACTTCAACAGGTTATGGTCCCAGGCATGCTTCCACTGCGCACAAGGTTAACTTATTAAAATAAAAATATATATAAAAATTAGTGGCCAATAAAAATTTTAAAAAAGTGATAAGCACGCCGAGATACAGAGCATGCACGCACAAAGGGTGAGGAGACTCGGTCGGAGAGGTGAGGTGAAGACCTCGGAGTTGAATCAAACAACTAGTAATTACAAAGGCTGAAATGGGTAAGTCTCATTTAAATTAATAAGTGAAAGTGCCTCGGTGTGAAAATAATTAATTACATCACTACGGTAGAGTCGGCGGGAAGAACGAGAAAGCCACGTGCAAAGATGGCGGCCGGTGCGAAAATGGCCACAAAAATCGAATAAAAATATATATATACTCTCTGAAATAAATTCACAGTCACAAAGGGCCGAAAATAAAATAAAAATAAAAAAATAGAATTTTTCTTGAAATTGTGATGCAACAAATTCTTGATTTTGGGTCGGATAGTTAGAAAACTCGAGTTGGGCGTGGAACGCGGTGAGTGGCTGGGTGAGTGGACAGCGGAGTCGGTGGGCGTGCGGGGAGAAGGCAGGGGCGGGGAACGCTGGCAGTTGTAGCCAAGCTACACTTGCAACGTCCGTGTGTGTGGTAGAGTGGTGGGTCGGAGAATTTAGAAAGAGATAGATGATCGCAATACCACACGCTGGCGTGCACGCGATTTCTGATCTCGTTCGAGAGAATAATCACTGAGTATTATTCTGATTCGAAATAATTATTTAGAATCCCACCAAAATTATTTTGTTTAAAGAACATTATTCTAAATTAAAAATACACAATCACAGGTGATGACTTGTGGAATTTGTGACAACGACTCACATTTCTCTTTGGATTCGATGATGCCCACAGAGGAGACGACATCCTCATCGAGGTGTCGGAAAACGTTTTAATTGTGAGTACAGACACAATTAAAATGTTGAAATGGGGTGAGTTGATGAGTCTGGGACGAGAGAAAGGAAATGAGAAATGCATGCGATTAAGTGCTTGTGGGGATATTGGCTAGCAAATATCAACACATATAGATAAAAGCACGAAGAGCTCTAATTAATTGATTGATTAATTAATTGATTAACAATACCGGTTTACAATTGAATTTATCATGAATTATTAATGATATTATACGCGTATTAAGAATCTATTCTGAATCAGGGTTGTTCCCAATAAGCGATCGGTGAAAATTAGTTTGTAAGTTCGACTTTTTAAAATCGATCGTTATTTTCGGACATATAATGAACTTTGTGTACATTTCTCATTTGTGTTCGAAGTTCTGATGTTAACTATGAGTGTTCACATCTTTAACAGCAGGACATTATATATATATATATATATATATATANATATATATATATATATATATATATATATATATATATATATATATATATATATATATATATATATATATATATATATATGTAAATGTAAATCCTAACCCACCTTATCCTAACAGGCAAAGACATGATGACTGATAATCAGTGGAAATCGTTGGTCGAATGGTACGAAAAGAAAATTTTGGCCAACAGAATTCCAATCATGCCCAAGGTGTACGAGGAACAACCACATCAGCCTACTACCGAGGTCAGCAAGATGGGTGAGGGTCAGGAGAGCGGGGGTCAGAAAACCAACGGCAACGAGGGCAGACAAAATGTTGCTGACGAGGGTGAGCTAAAGGTTGGTGATGAGGGTGTGGAAGTCCCAGCTGGGAAAACTGACGAGTCGGTAGTTGCTGCAGCTTTCAAGTTAGGTAACAATAAACCCAAAATAACTAATATTGAATATATCGAACCTGAAGTTCAAATAATACGCCCAACACCCACTCCTGTGAATGATCCAACAAAATCTATTCCCATTGTGCCAAAACGGAAAATTCCAGTCGATCAACGACTAGAGAATATCTGCGAGAAAATGGAGTGCATGTATGACACTCTCATAAGGGTCACGAATATCCAAATAAACACCAGCAGGGGTTTGTTGGAGAGTCAGAAGTCCTCGCTGCATGAGCTAAGGGAAGAGAAGGCGGAACGTGATGAGAGGTTCCAGAAACTCGAATAGGGATTGGAGAAAGTCGTGGACTGGATAGAGTCTGGTGATACCAGTGACGAGGTGAAAGAAACACCTAACCAGGCTAATGACAGTCACGACGTGGATAATAATGAGGAATTAGCAGCTGTGGTAGAAAATATTATAGAGAAACACATGAATACTTTAAAGAGTCAAATCAATAGTCAAAACAGAGGCACTGACACTAGCGATGCTAAATTAGTTGCCGATGCTATCAGATTAGATATCATGAACAAAGGACCTTCAGTCAAAAGAGACAATAAATTAGATAATAGCACAAGATTTGAGCATTTTTATGACTACTTCAAGTCAGAGGTCAGATCCCATAGACTCATGCATGTCATCGATCCAAGGGTTGATTTCGCTGGTGATCAAAGTACCTTGAATGAGCATAAATTCAAAGTGAGAGACATTTTGGCAATCATATTGACAAGAATTATCATTCCAAGGTAGTCTCACTTGATGATCCAGTGGAGATCTTGATTAAGCTCAAAGAAATCAAAAGATATGAGACCAATGTCTCATCTTTCACGGTGAGAAAAGAAATATCGAATATGAAATATATTATTGGTAAGATGACTGCGAGTGAGTTCAGTGAAAAGTTTGAAGATGCAATTCGTAAGTACGAAAATGCTACAGATGCTGTTCCTCTATCCGACGAGGAGAAAAGAAATGCATTTAGCAATGCTATTATGGGTTCTGCATCCATGGTGCGATTCCTCCAATCCGCTGCCGAGCTCAAGGGTGAACAACCCCCTAATTATGAACAATTGAAACTTGTTGTCATGCAGGACGAGGCAGCCAGGAAGCAGACCAATGACGAGGCTGGAGAGGTTAGAGCAGCAAACCTGGTGAGCAAAGACGACAGGTGTTTTGAATGTGGAGGTTTTGGGCATCTCGGTCGGTTCTGCCCAGGTAAGGGCAAAGGAAAACTTTGCTACAAGTGCAAGGAGTATGGGCACATTAATAAGGAGTGTCCAAACTCAGGTGAGCCTAATAAACCTAATTCAAACAATAAAGGTGGTCGTTGGCATGGGAAAGGTTTTCGGGGATCTGGGCGTACAGTTGGGTCGTTGAAAAGGAGACATGAAAATTCAGAATCTTATGATTCGAGAAATGTCAAAAGGACTAGGTTCCAGAGTCAGAGCAATCGACATGATAGCAAGTACTGAAAATCCAAAACTTATACTAAATTTAATAAGGAAGATACTAGCAAGACTCCAGCTGGAGACAACAAAGATAAAGGTAGGCTGAATATGTACAATTCAGAAAATTACATGGAAGCGAATGACGATTTTATTGAAACTCAAGCAATGTTGGTAGATTCAACGGATTATTTCGAAAATAAATTTATCGTTAAATTCCTGGCTGATTCTGGTGCTACGGAGCATCTATCCAATTCAAAGATAATATTTAAATCCCTCGACGAGCGAAACAAAAGTGTTATCAAATGTGCAAACAAAAATGAAGCGGCGAATTTGAAAACGGAGAGAGTCAATCAAGTAGAGGTTGAATTGGTAGATGGCAACACTTTCGAAATAGATGAGGTTATATTCGCTGAGTCTCTTCAGGCCAACTTGCTGTCACTGAGAAGATTCGCTGAAATAGGTCATGCTATATACTTAGATGACAAAAGAATAGACATCTTTAATCCGGAGTCGAACGAGTCTTTTATCTCAGGGGTTTACCGGAAACCATTTTGGATTGTTGAGTTATAAAAAATTAAATACAATCAATTAAACAAGCAAATGTGTAAAAACACGATTAGACGGGTGATAGCCAATATGGTGAATAATGAAAGAGGGACTAGTAATTATGTGATGCGAAATACCACTAGTAAATCGAAAGAATCTTCTAACGTAGAACCGTTGAGCGAAAATAACACACAAATTGCAGACGAGCCAGTGAAGTTAGATAATATTGTGCAATCTGAAGAGCTTCAAAAGACCGAAACTTCTAAACCGATTCACGACCAACTCATTCACTCCAATTTCGATTACTCTATCTGAGACAGAAAAATAAACAATGCAGATGAAGCTCAATCTAATGTAAGTACTGAGAATTTGGATCCGTTTGAAGTTGGAAAAGATTTGTTTCAAACAAATAACAAAGCCATGTTGTGGCACGTGAGACTAGGTTATGCATCTCTAGCGTATCTCAAAGCTGTCCAATTAAAATTTCCAGAAAATAAAGAACTTAGAAACGTGGTGTTTGATGAGTCTATAATGGAGTGCAAAGTATGTTTGGTTTCCAAATTTAATAGATTACCGTTTCCTAAAATAAGAACTCGAGCGTCAGAACCTCTTCAGATTATTTATTCTGACGTGATGGGACCCATATCCCTGAGTTCACATCCGAAGGGATACAGGTATATATCTGTATTCATTGATGATAAATCGAGATTCGCGATGGCATACCCGATGAGAACAAAAGGTGAAACAGGTCACTGCCTTGAAATGTTTGTTAGGAGGGGTAGGAATCTGTTGGGTTACGATGCTAAAGTGTGTTATCTCAGATCAGATCAGAATACCGAATTTACAGGGGGACATACAGTTGAAGTGTTGAAAAGACTAGGGGCAGAATTGCAACTGGCATGTCCCGATACACCTGAGCATAACGGGGTCGCGGAACGGTACAACCAGACAATCCAGAAGAAGGTTCGAGTCTACATGTTTGACGCTAAATTACCCGAAAGCATGTGGGACCTGGCTCTGTCTGCCGCGGCTTACTCCTACAATCATACTCCCCACAAATCCAATGAAATAAAAACTCCATTAGAAGAATTTGCACCGGGACATAGCTTTGATGTTGGTCAAGTTAAAAGACTCGGCAGTCTTGCGTACATAAAGGTACAGAGAAAGGTCGGACCTAAATTCGGGGCAGTAGGTATACGAGGTGTTTTGGTTGGCTACACTCCAACAGGGTACATTCTGCTAGTACCTGAAGAAGGAAAATTTTATGAGAGTAGGCATGTCAGATTTAACGGAAAGAAAGTTTACGGTGATAAGTATAAAAAGGGAGAAATTGAAGACTTTCCCGAGGTTCCTCAAGTGACTGATAAAGACAGGTGGTTTGTAGAATTTGAAAAGAATTCAAACGATTTGGATGATGAATCCAAATCGGAGCGAGTAGCCAAGAGGAGAAGGGGCAGACCAAGAAAGATAGCCACCTCTTCTGATGAGAAACAGATTATCATCCCTGATGAGAAAATGACACAAGAATCCGCTCCTGCTAAACAAATAATTAATCCAGAATTAAGTACCGGAATGTTCCTGGCTTGTCTGTCACAAGGGGAACTGGAATTAGGAGTGGACAAATCTACTGACGAGAGCTGTCATGCACTGCTCGCTGGTTCCAATTCAGATCCCGCGAATTTCACTGAGACTATGCAAAGTGTTGACGAAAAAATCTGGGTATCAGCCGTGGAAGAGGAATTTAAATCGATGAGCAAAAACAACGTATGGAAAATTGTAGACAGACCAATAAGTAATAAAAACGGACAGAAAGCTAACATAATTGACTCTAGGTGGGTGTTTGAAAGAAAAATAGAAACAAACGGTGAGGTAAACTACCCTTGTGAAAATTCATTTTTCTCATAGAAAAACAACTTTTGATGGAAATCCCATGGGATAAATTCCATTTGAAAAAGTAGAAAAAAATACAGAATACCTGTTTTGTCTTTTTTTAATCGAAATTTAAAACTTAAAAAATAGATTTTTCGTGAATTGCGAAATTTCAAACTTTTTCCTGTACAAAACGAAGCTTACGGCTAATGATGAGGGAAACCATTGGGACAGGATCCAGGAGTGATGTCGGGGAGGTTAACTACCCTTTGGGGGGAGGGGGAATTTTTTTTAATAAGGGAGAAAAAATATCGATGAGAATTTTACGAAACACATTTCGTTCGAAAGCATGAGACAATTCAAAGCACATCCTGGGATTCTTTTCCCCAAATGAAAATTGAAAGTAAAATACTTTTTTTTAAAATTATATACAAGTCTTCGATTTTTTGGTACATAAAAAAGTTGAGTGATGACTCTCTGGAAGTAACACTTGGAGGCTAAATAACCTTTCTGGGAATTACTTTTAATTATATTAGTGAACAGAATTCATTTGAAAGAGTAAAGAATAATAAGAAATATCGAAATTTGAACCCATAAAAATGTCCATTAGTAGTTATATATGAATTACAACCTTTTAATTATCCGTCTACTTGTATCACAGTACCATAGTCCGAACTAAATGGTAAGGATTGAATGAAGATCCGATATGAAAAGGAAACAATGATGGTAGTAATCCCGAAATGATGGAATTCAGAATATACATTGATATTATTATAGAAGCTCAGACCATTTATTCCTTCTAGTATTATGTTCTCAATCAGCATACTTTCTGTTGGGATCAATCTACAGTATAGATAGTATTAGGGGACGTAATGTGTACAAAAATGATATTCCATAAGTAAAAAATCCGTGAGCGTTACCAGGCTTTTTTCTTTGTTTTCTATACTCAAGTTCTTTTTCCTTTTCTATGAACCATATATATAGTACAATCTTTGGAAAACTCATTAAATGAGTTCCAAAGTGACGACTGTTTCATCCAATTCTGACCATTTTTCATTGAGTTATGAAAGTTTTAGGCGATAAGTGAATTTTCATGTGTCACTTGAAAAATTAACTTCGGATGGATTTTTCGATGCTTTCAAGTGGCTTAAACAAAGATATTTATACATCATTTTGAAGAACATGTACTGTTTTTCGAAATGGTGTATTAAAAATGCGATTTAATTGGATTTTCATCAATTTATTACAGTTTTTTTCCATTTTCTATGTTTTGTCACACCTAGAAAATGACAATTTTTGTAATTTATCAAGGGTTTATACTTAATCAGCGGAAATATATCATATATCAATTCGAAGGTTTCATCGGGATCTTCAAATTGATACCTTATATTATTGATTCCAACCATTAGATCAATTGTTACAAGCGATAATGCATCGATTTTGGCATGTCACGTTTTGAAAATTTCCATTTTTTTTCTATAAACGATGATATTTTCTGTTTTTTTCTTCAAGTTTGTGGGAATATGTTATATATAATTCAAAGCATATTAAATTGCCTTCAAATTGACCCCTGAACTATTTGATTACAGCCAAGTTTGATCAACTTATAGGAGATTTTATCTAAGAATTTAATTTCTTGATTTTTTTCTGAATTCAGATTAGTTCGCATTTTTCAATCACTATCGTTGAAGTAAAGTGAAGAATTCGTACATCATTTTGAAGGGTATTGTTAGTTCTTCAAAATGGTACATAAAAAATCTGATTTCGTGGAATTTTCATCCAATTATGATAGATTGTTTCTACTTTTTATTTTACTTCATGTCACACTTAAAAAATCATAGTTTCTGACAAAAAATGATGCTTTGGACTTCACCAGCGGGGATGTATTATATATTAATTTGAAGATCTTATCGAGATCTTGCAATTAATACCGTGTTTTATCCATTCCATCCAATAGATAAATTCTGATAAGCAATAATAATTTGATTTTGGGATATCACGCTGCGAAAATTCAAATTTTTTCCTCTTCATGAGGAAAATTTCCTCGGTTATTGTCCAAATCTGTGTAAGTACCTAATGCTTAAATATGGAAATATCACATTTACGTTCAAAAAATTGACACCAAACTGATGCCCCATTAAAAATGCATTGATATTTTCCATTTTTCGAAATCATTTATTGGTAATGATGAAGCTTTCGATTCGATCCGACAATTTGTATGACGAATCGATTTGAACATCGTTATCATTTGTAAAGTTGTCAGGAGAATGAAGTGAAGTTTCTGTTTAAAGTTGGTTTATAGTTGGTTAATTTAATTGTCACAATAATTATAATTATTTCTGATATAAATATTAAAACGTGATTGAAATATAATGAAAAAATTGACAAAATGTAGGATCACGTAGTTCGTAAGTCGGGGGATTTATAATTCATGAAAATGACGACAAATATCAATTTCATGCAACCGAGGTAGCGCGCGCGAAGCGCGCGATCTGCCTAGTTCTTAAAAAAAATGCAGCAAATAAAGTGATTTTTTGCACCATGAGCATCTGACTACTGCAATATTGGAACAGCCTTCAATATCACAGTGCGGATGAGATGATTGCCCGAATGCAAAATCGACAGGATTTTCGAATTCATCTGGTTTTTTAGAAATGTAACCACTCTGAAACCAAGCATAACGAAATAAATTTTGATACCTTGGTGATGATAATTGATTATGGACTAAAGACTGTAACTTTATGATATTGTTCCGCAAATGTAAATTAATATCATAGTCCATTAGGACGACACTATCCGAAAAATGACGAACATAATTCTTCCATATCCTAAAATCATATACGTTAAGGGGTTGAATTTTTCCAGTAGTCCCCTTTGGTATCAACATAGTTAATAATTCTTTATCCGGAGGAGTAATTTCTTTCACGACTTGAGGACAGTGTCCGCTCCAGCAATCGATTAACAGTAGACTTCTAGGACCCACGTTTGGAAAAAAGACTTAATTCAACCAGGTTTTGAAATGCTCTGAAAAATCAAGTACTAGATGATAATCCTAAATATTGTATAGAACATATCATGTTTGTTAGGTCTTAAATATTGTCATACGTGAAGTGAGTTTTCCCGATTTTGAAGCGGTGATGAACACATGCGCAGGTTTGAAGGGATTTTGTTCCACGATTGGACCGAAAGTTCCAGAAGGTTCATTCAAAATCAGGAAGAGAGGTGAAAGTAATTTTCCATCAGCAGAAATCAGAGGTTGTACTGTATAACTATGTGTCGTTGAAGTTATCGATTGTACGACGCACGCTACTTGTTTAGTACCTTCTTCAGCTAACGTTCGCCCTGAATGAATTTCCAATTGGAAACCACTTTGATCAGTATTATAAATGTTTTCTGGACCATACGTATCCCAATAAGATCGAACTTTCAGGAGGAATTCGTCCGCTTGTTTTTGTAACTCTTCCCGAGTCTCTAATGTTTTTCTGGTGATGAATTTGTTAATCTTCCGGGATGTTATGCGGTGTGCTCGTTTAAAATAATGCAACTACCTGGACGAAGCTGTAAAACGAACGTCTTCGAAGCCGATTCCCTTCCGAGCTTGCAGGGCTCACCTTTGGAGGTCAGTATCGTGGACGATCAAACCTGCATCGATAGCATTCTTCATATTCTTTGATGTGCACTCCGAAATGCGTTTCAACTTCTCCATGTATGTCCCTCCTTTATTGATTTGATTCGCTCAGCGTCGTAACTGTCTACGCGATTTCACCTTCCTGAATCGATGGGAAACAGTTTCTATAGAGAGATTCTTCTTCTTTTTTCCACTTCTCCAGAAGTCAACGGCATTCTTTTTATATTCGAAATCTACAGGTTCCTCATCCTCCGAACAACTGTCAGGTGATTCTTCTGTATGTGGTTGAAATTCTTTATCCTCGACCGCTATCATTTCGATATCTTTATAAGGCTCTTGAAAATCCAGGGATGTTTCTTCGATCATTTCAACTCCATTATATTCCTCCATTGATTGAATCAATATCCTTTCGAACGTGTCTGCTAATTCACGTTCCTCGTTGTTTACGGGTATTTAAGCAAGATTGAGAACTTCAAATGTTGCCATCAGAAGTCGGATAACGTTGGTCGGATTAACTTTCATGGTAGAACAAGTATAGATCACGACACTCACCGAAAAACTACTTTTCTCTTCGATGTATGTTCATAGACTGATTGTAATTCACAAGAGGGATGGAAATGAAAAACATTGATATCGTATAAGTTATATTGATCAGAGTAATTTCATCCTCAGATAACAAATGAGCCATTTGCATCAATATGTTTACAACTCCCGAATATTCTTCAGTTGTGGTTCTGCATTATCAAACAGAATGGTATTGTCATATGTCGCCATTTACGTCTCATTGAAAACGATATCACATCGAAGCGATAAGAGCAACCGAAATACATTTTATCATCGATCCATTATTTACTATACAAAATCATCGGCTCTTCTTTGTACCACCCATCCACGTTCATATAGAGATGAAAATTTGAATTCCTCAAAATATTTCATCATAACTCATTTTTCCAAATTGGAAATGGACGCCATTTAATGGAATCTCTACTCTGGCCTTTGGGGAAATTTTTTAGATTCATGGTCATTACTGATTTCTTTTGAAAATGAATGACGTTGGTCCGATCGATTCGATAAAATACTATGAGGATTGTTAAGCCCTCAAGTTTCACTCCCGAAGACTATTTCAATTGTTTCACTTATCATTCCGTGTAAGATCAGTCTATTATAACAAACAATTTAAAACCCATAATTTTTCAAAGAATCGATGTTTCTTACCTTAAAAGTCTAATTTGCGGAAAAAATCTTAAATATGTGCTTTAAATTGTCTCATGCTTTCGAACGAAATGTATTTCGTAAAATTCTCATCGATATTTTTTCTCCCTTATTGAAAAAAATCTCTCCCCCCCTCCCAAAGGTAGTTGACCTCCCCGACACCACTCCAGGATCCTGTCCCAATGGTTTTCCTCATCATTAGCCGTAAGCTTCGTTTTGTACAGGAAAAAGTTTGAAATTTCGCAATTCACGAAAAATCTATTTTTTAAGTTTTAAATTTCGATTAAAAAAAAAACAAAACAGGTATTCTGTATTTTTTTCTACTTGTTCAAATGGAATTTATCCCATGGGATTTCCATCGAAAGTTTTTTTTCTATGAGAAAAATGAATTTTCACGAGGGTAGTTTACCCTCCATATTTCACCCCCCGCAGACGGTTCTAATTCGCATTTTCATCATTCCTTGTGACCTTCATGATACACTGCGAAAGATTTGGTCAAAAAGCTTCCTTATGTGTGCAATCGAAAAATAACCCCGAGAGGTGGTCAACTTCAGAGAGCACTTTCACCCCCTAAAACCCAATATGGGCAGCTACAAAAAAATACGTGTCCCTTAGTTTTGGGTCCCCTATAACATATTTAAGTTTCATCGAAATCGGAGGGGGACACCTGCGTAGTGTTCGTTGTTAGTGAATTCTGATTTGGAGCCTTGTTTGTTCACTTGGGGTTGTCAGAACAAATTTTGGATTCTGTTATTGTATGTTGATGACATAATCATGGCCAGTAATGATAGACTCAAAATGAATGAAGTCAAACGGAAATTGAGTTCAGAATTTGAAATGACGGTATTAGGTGAGCCAAAAGAATTTCTAAACATTTCAATTAGAAGAGATCGGGAAAACCGTATTCTAAAGTTGAGTCAAGAGAAATATATCGAAAAGTTGTTAACTAGATACGGTATCCATGACATGTATCCCCAGAGAACTCCAATGCTCACAACACAGGCCTCAAGTCATGAACGTAAACAGAGAGAATCTGACTTTGAAGAGGAAGCCCTCGTAATTAATGATAAGCTAAAGAATTGCCCATATCGGGAAATTGTAGGTAGTTTGTTGTATTTGGCAGGAACTACCAGGCCAGATATTTCTTACGCTGTCAATGTCTTGAGTAGACACCAGGTGAATCCAACTGATGAGGATTGCAAGATGGTAAAACGGGTACTTAGGTATCTAAGGGGTACTTCTACTCTGGGTCTGAGGTATGCTGGTGAGACTAACGAAATTGAAGCATACTCTGATTCTAGTTTTCCTGATTACAAGAACTCATTGACTACGTGTGGATTTGTGATTAAATTATTTGGGGACTCTATTATTTGGAGAACTCACAAGCAATCTTACGTTGTATTGTCAACTTGTCAGGCTGAATATGTTGCAATGAGCGAGACCAGTCAAGAGATGTTATCTATATATAACTCTTCAAAACTAAATTAATATAACTCTTTAAAACTAAATTAACTCTTTAAAGTTAATTTTTCCACCCAAGCTGCCAATGATATTATAGTGCGATAACAGAGCAGCGACGAGTTGTACAGAGACGAGTGGGGGAAATAGATTAAGACACATTATTGATGTTAAAGCTCATCATATTAAAGAATGTGTAAAGCTAAACTTGATCAAAGTAAAATGGATATGCTCAAGAGATCAATTAGCTAACGTGTTTACAAAACCTTTGACGTTTGAATTACATAAACGTCAAGTTGATAAAATATTGAATGTAAATATCTAATGACATTCTTATTGTGTGTTCAGGAAAGAAGAAAAACTAGATTAAGGAGGACGGGAAGCTGTCGGGAGGGAGTGTTGGAAGAGGGTGCCAGCTCCCCGTCAACTGGTCCTATCTCTATTAACTACTTAATACTTATTCTTATGGACTGGGATGTGAATCGACACTGCGTGTGCCTGCGTCACTTCGACCTGTGTGCCTTGACGAGTAACATTAAAACGTTTCTTGATAATATCAACTGCCTCGTTATTTCGAACGCCTGACCTACCAACTTCAACAATAAGCTATACCACATATTATATTACTTACGATTTTTCTGAGATGCTGTAAAACAGCCATGAAGTCTTTTATCAACATTTATGTCTGAAGTTTTTTGGTGTATATTTTTTTAGTCGTAGATTCAACACCTCTTATGTATTAGCATTATCAGCAACTGAATAAACGTTATAAAAATATAAAAAAAGTAAGAGCACCCGACGCGACATTGGGAGGTCCCGGGTTCGATTTCCGGCTAGGAAGTTACTAATTTTTTGTCTCAAAAAATTAAAATTTATTTAATGCCTAATGAAGGTAGGCGGCGAAACCTTAGTGGAAAATCCAAAATTATAGCGTTACATACCTGATCAGAATCTGATAAGGTAACCTGATCAGTGTCTGATCAAGACCTGACTAAAATTGCCACTCGGGAAGGGAGTCGTGCATTGAGAATGCACAACCAAAAAAATTGAGTCGGTAAGTTTTTCAAAAATACCCGAGTCGAAATATGAGACCTTTTTTTGAGCTCCCAGGTCTCGTTGCAAACTCTTTCTGGGATTGGAATTCTCCCTTCGTTCTCTTTTTGATCTTCCTCACCGACGGGGCCTCTATTGATGCTCTGTTTCGGAGATCCAAGTACTCTATTCATTCTCCACCATTTTCTTAGTCCGGTGATCTCTTTCACTTATCTCCCTCCAAGATCTCTTTTAATCCTCTTAATAACTCTACTCGCAAAAGGCCAATTTCTTTTTTTTTAACAAGTTTCGAATTTTTTAATTATTGTTATATCGTCGTGGCCGAGCACGTAAAGCGCTTGCCTCCGGCCACAGAGTTTTCAAGTTCGAGTCTCTCCGTTTTTTTTCAAGTGAAAAATGCTGATTGCATTGAAAATCAATATTAATTAATATAAATCGATTCAGTTGCAATGGTATTTTTCAAAGAGAGGAGAAACGACAACTATTAACCAAAATTTCAAATGTTTATTCAAACATCGTCCAATTAATTCTCAGATGTGCTATGACATTTTATATTATTTCCAGACAAAATTGAAAACTCATTCAAACTAACAATTACAAAGCTTCGATTCAGAATCCAAAAATTTAAAAGGCGTAGCAATAATGAACATAGTTTAATTTTGAATGAAATTTTTGACTTCGCGCATGAAAAAAATTCATAGGAAAATCTAACGAATTCTATAGAAAATTCTATTAGTTTTTGACTGATTCTATTAAAAAATGTGCTGCGAAATACAAACAAATGTTAACTAGGAGCTTTATTAGAGGAAAAATCAGTAGAACTTCATCTTTCTATAAAACTTTTTCTATTGAAACATTTTCTATGAAACATTCTTCGACTTGAAAAAATGAAACAAAAAACTGTATAAAGTTTGAACCGCAGAATTTCGATAGAAGAATCATAGGCAAAACTCAATACTTTTCTATTTAAATGCCAATTCAAATACTAAATATTAATTCATTTAGTATTTAGAAACTTAGGAAACTATTAAATACTTCAATATTTAGTATTTTCCATACACTTAAATACGAAATAGTCGAATATTTAGTATTTATTAGAAAAATTCCGTGACAGTTCCGTAAAATTTCCTACAAGAACATTTCGCTCCGGAATTACGGAAAAGATACGTCATTTTTACTGAATATTTCTTTCAGTGTAAATACGAAATACTTATTCACTTAAATATTTCGTACTTAGTATTTAGTATTTATTGTTTCTTTTTTGACAATGGAAATTTGGTTGAAGGAGGGGAGGTCCTAACATGAGGGATCTATTACAAGGCTGGAGAGGTGGGGGAGAATAATAGTCAAAAATATACAATGATCAAAACTGAGCGTCAGGAGAGTCAGGTGTGTGGATAAAAAATAAGGGTCACAAGAATGGAGGTCAGAAACAAGCGTCACAACTAAAGATCTCAAGGGTCTGGCGTAAGAGTGCGAAATACGGTTCAAAACAAAAGAGCATGAGGTTTGGGCGTGAGGGTCAGAATTAAGATCAATAATAAGGTTCGAAATGACGGTTCGAAGCTAAGGATCACGAGGGTCAAATGTAACGGTAAAAAATGAACGTCAGATGTGAGGGGGAAATATAAGGAACACAGGAATAAGATCCAAAAATAAGAGTTTAAGTTATTCGTCACAAAAATGGAGGTCAAAAGTAAGAGCCAAAACTAAGGGTCACAAGGGTCAGGTGTAAGGGTCAGCTATAATTGTCAAAAATTCAAGTCGGAAACAATAAGCAAATCTAAAGATAACGAGTCGGATGGCGTCAGGGTTAGAGATAAGGGTCAGGCATGAGAGCGAAAAATGGAAGTAGGGGGTCATGAGGGTGAAAAAATTTGTTTTGTAGATCTGGATGTATATGCAATTCTCTATCGTTTGAGACATACTTTTTTTCCATTGAAAAAAATTTTGACCCTGATCACCCTAGGTTTTTAATCTTGTGACTCTGAATTTGACTGAGGATTTACGTTCCATGCAATTTCTTATAATTTGAAACACACTCTTTTTCACTTCAAAAAGATTATGATTTTATGACCCTGAAATTCTAACCCTCATAACCCTAAAATTTTGACCTTCATGACCCTCAGGACCGTAAAATTTTATTGCAAATTGTAACCTTTCATGCAATTTCCTATTGTTTGAGACATACTTTTTTCCGTTCACAAATTTTGCCTAGTCCTCGCGATCCTTAGTTTCGACTCTTGTCGAAGGATCATAAAGATTAAAATTTTAGGGTCATATGGGTGAAAATTTTCTGAACTGAAAAAAATTATAGCCCAAACGATAGGAAATTGCATGAAACGTCCAGATCCGCAATGAAACTTCATAGAGGTCAAAATTTTAGGGTCATAAGGTTTAAAATTTTTGTGAACCGGAAAAGAGTGTCTGAAATGATAGGAAATTGCATGGAACGTCAAAATTTTCAATCAAATTTTGGGGTCATAAGAGTTGAAATTTCAGATCATGAGGGGCAAAAAATTTTCGAACGGAAAAAATAAGGGTGTCTAAAACGATGGAGAATTGAACGGGTCACGGAACGTCCAGATCAGCAAACAAAATTTGACCGCTATGACCCCTGGCTTCCATTTTTGACCCTCATTTCTGACTCTCATTCTTAACTATTACCCCAGACACTCGTGACCCTTGGATGTGATCACTGTTTCTGACTCTTATCTTGGACAATTGTATCTAACCGTTACACCTGACCCTCGTGATCCTTATTTAATTTTCCAACTTCTTCCCGTAATTTTTACACCCTCATCATATTTCTGAGGATCTTTCTTCGTGATTGACCCTCACTAGTAATTGTTATTACTGTCATTTTTAGGCTTATTTCGGACATTCACGCCTGAAACTTGTGACCCTTCGTTTTGACCCTTAATTTGATTTTCATTTTTGTGACGGTTAGTTTAAACTCTTATTTCTGAATCTCATTCTTGTGTTCCTTATTTTCCCCCTCATATCTAACGCTAATTTTTTGCTGTTACATTTGACCCTCATGACCCTCAGCTTTGAACCTTCATTTTGCACCTTATTACTGCTCTTAATTGTGACCCTCACGCCCAAATCTCGAGACCTGTCTTTTTAACCCGTACTTCGCACAATTTCCTCTTACGCCAGATACTTGTGACTCTCAGTTGTGACCCTTATTTCTGAGCGCCATTCTTGGGACCCTTATTTTTTATCCACACAACTGATCCTCATTCTTTACTCTCGCTTTTACTCTCTTGTATATTTTTTGCTCTCATACTAAATGAAAAAGTATTAAGTAAAATTTTGGAAGGAGAAACTTGGAAAATTTTAATCGAGAAATTTTCTAAAGACAATATATCAATAGAATAGCTTGTACAAAAAATTTGAATTTGACTGATTTTTACTATAAAACATTTTCCATTAAAAATTTCAACTGAAGAAGAAAAAGACTGCTAAGCTGCAGAATTTTTTAATACAATCTGCTAGAAACTAATGAAAAGTTCAATAAAAATCCAGTTGAGTTTTCTATCAAATTCGCTAGATTTTTTTGTTGAATTTTTTCCGTACATAATCCTTTAAATGGTGAAGGAATCACGTGAGACGTCTTAACAAAATAAGAATTATGAAGGTACAACACTATCAATGATTGGCCAAACCACTCATGATGACAATACGAAATTACATATATAAGAATCATGCGGTAGTCTAGTGGTTAGAGTGTTAGGTTTAGTAATTGTAAAATCTCAAGTTCAAATGCCAGTCGCGCCGGCGGTATAATTTATGTTAACCCTAGTTTGGTCACCATGCGAGGGAATTGCCACAACGCGTGGTTTTTTTTTTACGAGCGATGAATGATTAGGAAAAATCTGATAAAATTAGAATTCGTTCTTTGAAGCTTTTACAAATTAGTCATTTTTTTTTTCGATCGAATGAAGCGATCAGGTGGACAGAATAAAATAAAATAGAAGGAAGGAATACGAAAATGCGGCACTTCCCTCGCAAGGTGACCAAAGGCGTCAGCGGTTTTTCTCTCCCAGTGTTGCCACGCTCGTCTTGACTTGCCCCCACTCCTTCACCTATACACACCGGCACTCACCGGTGAATACAACTACAGTATTTACGCGGTGATTCTTGTGATAAAAATCAAATCAATCATAAACAACGTGATATAAAAAGTGAATATAATTATCCTAAAATACAAACAAATAATTTGGGCGCATGAGTGTAGGAAGAATCCATCCGAATAAGACTGCCACGAGGAATGTAAATCGATTTATGATCATAACCCCTACAGGTT